AGAAGTAAGGGAGAGAGGCGAGTACCGACTGAGCAAGAGTGACCCGGCCAGCCATAGAGAGCGAAGAGGCCTTCCAACCAGCAAGCCGCGCATCGGCTTTCTCAACGAGTTCCACATACGTGTTCTTGGTCACACGACTGTGAATGAGGGGCATCCCCAAATATTTCCCCAGATTATCAACCATTTGAAAACCAAGGCGACGGGCCAACTCCAGGCGAGTTTGGGATTCCACATTAGGAGAGAAAAACACCTGAGTCTTTGGTTCACTCACTTTCAGCCCAGAAGCCTGACAAAAAATATTTAACGTATCCTGTAGCGCCTCTACCTGGGCCAGGTCCGCTTCTAAGAATAATAGAAGATCATCAGCAAACATAAGATAGGGCAAAGAGATCTGGCTACGCCCCACCCGGATAGGCTTTCATCTGCCAAACTCCACTGACCGATCAATCATATGCGCCAATCGCTCAATACATAGAACGAACAAGTAAGGTGAAATTGGGTCCCCTTGTCTTATGCCACGGTTCGGGGTAAACTCCTCGCTAATCCCACCATTCCACTGCAGCTGCATGGTGGCCGAAGAAATGCAGGCCATCACGGCCTGGACAAAAATCGAAGGAAAGCCAGCACTCACCAGTGACTCCCACCGCAGGTAATCATAGGCTTTCTCCAGATCCACCTTAACAGCCATATACCCCCGTTTTCCCTTCGTGCACCGCATCGAGTGTATAAGCTCTTGGGCAAGAACAATATTATCAGTGATATGGCGACCCGGCACAAAGCTAGACTGGGCCGAATTAATAAGGAGCGGTAGCACCTTCTTCATCCTGTCCGCCAAAACTTTCGTCACCACTTTATAAACAACATTCAACAGGCTAATGGGCCTAAACTGCTTTAGGCAAGTAGGATTGTCCACTTTCGGTACCAGCACCAGCAGTGTTCTATTCAACGATGGAGGGACCGGGCACCCCCGCCAGATATCCCGAACCTGGGCACAAACCGCGGGCCCAACGTGATGCCAGTGTTGTTGGAAGAATACTGCATGTAAGCCATCAAGCCCTGGGGCCTTCAAGGGCGCCATGCGCTTAACCGCCAGAAAAATTTCGGACTCTCATATGGGCCCTCCAAGAGCCCGAAACAGCAGGGGATCCACTACCGGAAACGCACTCTGAATGCGAACTTGAGGACAGTCAGCCAGTCTAGTCTGATAAATTCCCTGGAAAAAAGACACCGCCATCTGCTTCATGGTCGCCTCATCTACAATCGTCTGACCCTCGTCATCCACCAGAGAATGAATGTGGCTCTTCCGACGCCGATGCCGAACCAGTCGGTGGTAATAAGAAGTATTCCGGTCACCAAACAGTGTCCAGTCCCTCTGCGACTTTTGGAGCATCAACAACTCCTCCTGAAGGAGAACTTTATCAAGATCCCCCTATAACCTTCTCACCAAACGACAAAGGAAAGGATTCCTCGAGAAGTGAGGCTGCCTCTGGATGCCACCAATGCGAGCCAGGAGCCTGCGCTTGCGGCGGAAAATATTGCCAAACACCTCCGAGTTCCAGACTTTGGCCTTCGCAGAAAACTCTGAAACCGCACTCACGTACGATGCCCCCGGCTTCCATGACCGGGCCACCACATCATCAAATCCACCATGAGTGAGCCAGGCGGCAAGGAACCTAAAGGGTTTATGTCCTCCACGCCGATCAACTCTAGACGCCCGGAGAAGCAGAGGAGTGTGGTCCGAGTGCACCCGAGGAAGGTGGCAAACCATGCTGTCCTGGAATAAATCTGCCCAAGCCGTGTTGGCAATCCACCTATCCAGCTTCTCCGCCAGCCCATTCCTGAACCACGTCATCTGGACCCCATCCGTGCGAACTTCAAAGAGGTCGTTGTTGAAAATCCACTCGGCGAACGCCGTACTTGTATTACAATTGCGTAAGGAACCGCCCTGTTTTTCGGATACTCGGAGAAGGCAATTGAAGTCTCCACCAACCACCCATGGGCCAGTAACCACTTCTGCCAAAGCATTGAGAGACTCCCATAAAGACCTCCTAACCACGGGGTTCGGACTCGCATAGACAAAAGTCACTAAAGACACGTGCTCTCCCACTCGAACACGTGCATGCACGTGCTGTCGACTACAGTCCAAAATCTGAACATCAACTTCCGGCTTCCACAAAACCCAAATTCCCCCTGAGAAGCCCGACGCTTCCACTCTAAAGGACCGGTCATAGCCACACCGTTGGATAAAATTATCTGCCTTTTCCCCACTAATGCGTGGTTTAAAAAGCGCAAAGACATCAGGCCCATACTGCTGCCGTAAGGTAATAAAGGCTCTCCTGAAAGCATCAGAAGCAGCCCCCTGTACATTCCATGAAACGATATTCATAAGGAAACAACTTGGTAGAAAGCAGAGCCCCGCTTAAAACGAACTAGGAACCTGTGTCTCTTCCACTCCTTCCATTACAACCTCCGGACCCCTTGGTGGAGTCCCCATGGGACCATCAGTCTGTGAGAGCCGTTGTCCCGAATCCCCATCAGCCTCCATCAAAGCATCCCCTGGATCCAACAATTCTACATCCTCCCTTGCCCGAGAGCCGGACGGCTTGTCCACCACAAGGACCGCCTGGTGTTTGGATTTGTCCAAGGTCGACGTGGCAGGAATGACAACTACTGAAGGGTGAGACTTAGGTGGATTTAACATGTCCGACGAGAGAAACCCTCCGAACAACCCATCTGGCCCACCGGTACGTGACAGCGATGCATTTGCCTCGGAGGCCCACGACGACTCCCCTGCCTTGGGCTGATTCGACGCCAGAACGGCCCCACTCCTACCCTTCTTTTTGCGCCCGATAACCGTCCTCCATTCCATCTCTTTCCCTTTATGAGTGTCGGAGCTTTTAGACCCCATGCCAGGCGTGCCCGTAGCGAAACCAGTCCCCGTCGCCCCCAAAACCCCCTCAGCTGCGGGTGGGACCTCATCCAAATTATCAGCCAAGACCGAGAACCGCGACCCGTTAGACATCTTAGAGCCGGCCTGCTTCCATCCCGAACCTTGGGCAGCAGGCCGCGTACGCGCCACCGGTCGAGTCACCGTTTTGGCCAGCATCCAAGGCCCGAAAGAGGCATGGACGCCCTCACCAGGAGCCGGTTCCTTAGAGCCCTCCCCTTTGTTCCCCGTGGTGGCGTTAACACCACCAGCCGCCCCGGAGGCTGTCGATAGCAAGTTGGGCAGCTGCTCGTCTCTAGGCTCCTCTACCCCTCCATCCTTGGACACCGGGAGATGTGGGCACAAGGCTGCGACATGCCCGTAAAAGCCGCACTGAAAGCATATCTCCGGAAGAAACTCATATTCGACCCTTTGGAATTTACCACGAATGTTAAATCCCGCACACAATGGCTTTGTCAAGTCCATGACCACAGCGAGCCTAGCATATTTGCCCCTTGTTTGCGAAGCAGTCTGATGATCGATCTTAACGACACGCCCCACGATATCCCCAATCGTACGGAACACTTTATTATGGTACAAGTGAACTGGCATGCCCGGGAGACGAATCCATGTCACCAGAGACTTGATTTGATTGCAAGTCGGATCAAAATCGTCACTCCACGGCTGAACGTGGAGATAAAATTTTTGATATTGCTTAGTGATCATCCAAGGACCTCCGACAAGTACGCGAACCGCATCATCATGAGTAGAAAAACGGACCTGATAATACCCGTTCTCCAGATCGACCATGTCGCAGCCGTTCATGGAAGGCCACAATTGTACTAGCTTATTATACAAGAGACGCGGAGGCAACGTTGCTCCCATCACTTTCACCACAACCACATTTCGCCAAGCTTGCAACAGCGTTCCGTAAAAGTTATCAGTCAAAAGAATATCCGGGATTGGCCCAGAACGGTCGACGGTAACCTCCCCCACAGGACCATCCTCGCTGCTTTCCTCCTCGGGCAACAAATCCACGTGGGACCTGGTACGATTCAGCATATCACGGAAACTCAATTTCGCCGGGACTGGATTTGGCTTGGGCGGATTGTTGTCTCCCCCCTCGGCCTCCATATCGACCACGTCCTGTGGCCTCAACCGCTTCAGGGACCGGGCATCCGCCGCCGGTAAAGAGGTCCTCGAGGCTGTGGCCACCGGTTCCAACCGGCCCCGGTCAGGCGGATCAACTTTGGGCTCAGCCGGCGTGCTTCGCGAAGAAACCATGACGTCGCTAGGGTTCATATCAACTTCTACCTAGACACGGCTTTCTTTCTCTCTTAACATTAACATTACATAGCCTAGGTGGAATGGTTAAATAAAATAAGCGCACTCAACCCAAGTTATCATTATTATTAGTATAGTATACTCTCGGTTAAATTAGGTTTTCATTATGCAAATTTCCTATTGATCATTGGTGAATTTATTATAAGTGAAAAATTAATAATATTCATTTACAAGTGATCTTAAAAAATCTTTTATTTTAGAATAATATATATGCTAGTATACCTTTATGCACAACAATTAGTGTATCCATAAGACCGTGTGTTGCCTTGCCTCCGTAATAAAATTGTATTATGAAAACTAATAAATGAATGCCAAAAAATAACATTATCTATATATTTACTTTTATATATATCTATACATTTACGAACTTCTTATTTTTAATTGCATATATGCTAACTTTTACTATTTATGAATGATTGATTTTTAATTTATTATTTTCATCTGTTTCTATTTTAGTTTATAATTTTATTTCAAATATAATTTAAAACAAATATTGAATATGAAAAAAGCCATGAAAAGAGTAAAACTCCTCACTTATGCAGCCCACAAGTAAGATTGGGTTTTAGGATATTTGTAGTTGGGCCAATAGCCCAAACCCGCACACTCCGTTGCCCTAACCCTGAATCCATCTTCTTTACTATTATTTATACAGAAAAATCATAAAACCCTCTTCACCAAGTCACTCCCATCCCTCAAACGTACGCGTTAGAGAGGTTTTACTGAAGAAAAAATGGAGGACGCAGTTGTTACAGCAGCACCCAATCAGCTGCCGGAAGAGAAGGTTCACACCGATGTTATGCTCTTTAACCGCTGGTCCTACGACGACGTTGAGGTTCAATTCTTTCATCTCATCTCAAAAAAAAAAAAAAAGCGAACATCTCGTTGGTTTTTCTAGGGTTTTGTGATGAGTTTGTGGCGATTTGTTGGTTATCTTTGATGTAATTTGGAATTACTAGTTACTTAGTGTAAAAGTTGTTTGCGCTGTGAATGCCTGTTGTTTAGAGTTGTGCTTAGAGTTCAATGAGTACAGGTATCAATTTTGTGGTGACCCATATGGTATTGATTGGGAATTAAGATATTAACAATTTTGAAGTGATTATGGTTATTCCCCCTTTTCTGTTTGTTGCTTATGAAGCTTAGCAGTTATGGTTTTACCTTAACTGCTTGCTCATTGAATCATTGATCATACACATTTAGATACACTAGAACAGCCGGTATTTGTATAATGCCATTAATGTATGTATGTATGTATGTATGTTCTGAGGTTGTTTACATTCAAGTTCAATAATGATAGAATTGCTATTGTTTAACATTCTTGATTGAGAATGTTTTTTGTGGTTCATAGGTCAAGGACCTTTCTGTTGACGATTACATAACAGCAACAGCCTCCAAACACCCAATCTACATGCCCCACACTGCCGGAAGGTACCAGGCCAAGCGGTTCAGGAAGGCCCAGTGCCCCATTGTGGAGAGGCTGACCAACTCGCTCATGATGCATGGACGTAACAATGGCAAGAAGATGAAGGCTGTCTCCATTGTCAAGCACGCCATGGAGATCATCCACTTGTTGACTGATGCTAACCCGATTCAAGTTATTGTTGATGCTGTCATCAACAGGTATCAATTATACCGCTTGCCTTTTGCTGTACATTTGTTTATTTGATACGAATTACTCGTGTGCACTCTCAGGCTGAGGGTTTTGTTCATTGTCCATGGGGATTTTGCTTTTAGTGAAAGATGATGGATTTAGTTCAAGTATGCTTGATGAAGACAAGATGAAATGCTGGAGATTCATGAAATAAAAATAAATAAATTAATGTATAATAAGGCTATATGTAAATCAAACACAGTGTGTGTGGAAATGAATTTCTAATATATAGTTAATAATCCTGCATCCTCAATTATATTTTCCTAAAGCAGTGTTTTCTTATCATCTTGATGTACACAAGGGGAATCGTCATTCTTGTTAATCTTTGCAAATCATTTTTATGGCTCAGTTACATTGTTTTTCTTTTTATTAGTAATTTTAACTCTAATTTCCTTGTTTTATTCAGTGGGCCCAGAGAAGATGCAACCAGAATTGGGTCGGCAGGTGTTGTTAGACGTCAGGCAGTTGATATTTCCCCTCTTCGACGTGTAAATCAGGCGATATATCTTCTGACGACTGGTGCTAGAGAAAGTGCTTTCAGGAATATTAAGACTATTGCCGAATGTCTTGCCGATGAGCTCATCAACGCTGCCAAAGGTTCTTCCAACAGGTAAACCAGTTTTCCTTCGAGTTCTTTACTTGTCTCATTTGGTTTTAGAGTTTCTTTTGATCCAATATCAATAGCATGGTTAGGTTCTAATTACCATTGTTTTTTTGTAATATGCACAGCTATGCCATCAAGAAGAAGGATGAGATTGAGAGGGTTGCCAAGGCAAACCGTTGAGAGCCTTATGAGTAGTCTCCATGATCAACAGTTTCAGTTTTTACTTCAGTTTTAGATTTGAGGTTTTGGATTATTTTGTCATAGACCTTTTGTTTAGCTAAATTATCAATTGGATCTATATCTTCATCACGAATTATATATATTTTGGCAGCTGAACACCTTTTTTGATATTATAATTTTGTTTATTACGGTTTTTTTATAGCTTCGGTTTTTTATTCTTCTTGCCAATCAAAATAGCAAATGACTGAATAGTGAATACCATTAATCATGCAGACAAAATCGATAATAAAAATTAATAGTTTTGGGAGTAGACATTATTGTGCCTCTGTCTCCATAACTTGGTTTTATTTCTACACTCAGCATCCTATGAGGATGCATAATATTCTCAAGCCGTACTAACTAGACGTATGAAATATGAAGTATGAAAGAATCCCCGTGTTTAGAAGGAGTGAACCCGACCACTTCACGCTGAGAAATCCGGCCTCCTTGAAGGGCTTCGTCTCCTTACTTTCTCTCCTAGGGGAAAAAAAAAAGGAAACAGCT